ATATAGTTGTAAGTCCACCTTTAAATTCGCTAAGGGGCTTAAATCATCCCCTAAATACGGAAAAAATAAAAAATTACTTGAAAAATCTAGGAAAAAGTACTAGGATATTGTAAATTATTAGAAATTCAAATCGTGTACTTCTCACTAGTATCTATAAGAATACCACCCCTGTAACGAAGGGATGAACTACCCCCGAATGTGATAACATGCGATAATATCATAGCGATATAAAAAAACTGTCGAATATTTTATAATAGACCTTACTTTTCTGATCAGAAAGACTGACTTGATCTAATTATTCTAAAATTTTCTTTATAAAAATCAACCCTCATAGGGGGTGAAATCATCCCCTAAACATAAAAAAAATTAAAAAATATTTGAAAAATCAAGATTTTTAAGTAATTTTTTATTTTTTCCGTATTTAGGGGATAATTTAAGCCCCTTTAGAAAAACTAAAAAATATGCTCATCTTGATTTTTCATTACCAATAATTTGACTTATGCAGAATATTTTTTGGGTTTTTCTTAAGGTCTCTGGCAAGGGTGAGAAAATAGGCTAACTTTGCGGTCACTCTTTGCTTCGAAGGTATTTTCCTGTTTAAGTAGGATCTGTATGTGGAATAAAAAAAAATGTTAATTAAATTTTTGAATAGACTTCCACAACTGCATTGGATTTTCTAATTAAAAAAATAACCTCAAAGTGTTAAATTCTGTTATGTATGAATTTATCTGCGCATTTATTACCACTATTTAATTGTAAATAATTTTGAATTGACTTTTTCAACGAACCAACGTTTCAAAGATTCTAAAGTTTAAAAACAATCGTTATACTTTTCGAATAATTAACCTTAATTTAACGTATTTTAAACTTAGTGATCCTAATCTTATAATAAAGATGCTTTTTTGTAGTTAGTTCCACATTTTGATATTTCTACTTCTGTGTTAGACAATCAATGAAAGAGACCAATAACAGTATCCACCCATTTTGTAATTTTATATACCTTTGTATAAAATCTCATGTCAAAAACATTGGCTCTAAAACATTATCCCAAGTGCCAAGCCCTTCTATATACTCAAAAAATATATCATATGTAAAAGAGCCTCCCTGAGGGCAATCGCCCCGTATCTTCCAGCCACGATCAAAACCGCAGGAAATGAAACGCTCTTGCTCTGCCGGAAATGGCTTGAAAACTTGCCATCTCAGCCTTTATCTTAAAGCCTTTCGTTGGATTTCATTTTTATTCGCGCCGGCTTAAATAATGGCTTTAAATCAAAATCGTTATAATACGTGATATATTTACTTCTTATACGCTACCCGCGTTTGACGTTTCTTATTAATGTTTATTTTTTGTTCGATTCGGTCGCCGTAACGAGCATTTCCGGTCTCCCGTAGAGCGAAATTTCAAACCAGGAAAACGGAAAGAGTGTCAGGTTTGACGTTGCATAGAGAACTAAAAACTGGGAGAATTAAAATTTTAGTATTCGATTTGCTGCCACTAAAATATTTTCTAAAGCTAATAATACTGAGAAATAGGATGCAGTAAATACAATATCAGATGTGGTAATTATCCCAAGGAATTAAGATTTTATGTAGACGATGATAATGAGATTTTAGACAGTCGTCTCTAAATGTAATTAAAATAAATGTAAACTGGAAATCTAGGAAATGGTGGTCAATCTAAAGGACTTGGGTAGTAGGTACTTGCAAAAATATCTTCACAAGTTCATATAGATATATATTAATTAGTCCACTAGATCACAATATTGAATATAGCACACTAATAGAAACATAATACAATTGAAACATATACAAAAATATTAAAATATCATAAAAAACAAATAGCTGCTCACAGAATAGAAAGCATTTTAATGCAATATATTCTTTATTAAAAATATAAATCTTGTAAAATTTTGGCTTTTTATAGATGCTGGTAATTTATTAAACATATAATAATGCACCCATATAATATGGATTTGACTTGATCTTCTATGCAAGTCATATTGTAAATTTGTTCCATCCATGAAACATGAAATTTATTTTGAAGATTAAATTTGGAAATGTTTTGTTTGACAAATTTTAAGGTTTCAAGCACGTGCAAACAAGGCAGCGTTTTTGTTACAAAAGTAGATCTGCACGATTCAGAATACCTTAATCCGAACATATTTTTTAAGGCACGTTTTTGTAGTATAAATATTCTGTTGAAAGCTGTTAAGTTGCCCCAAAACATTGCATACCGAATTATAGATTCGAAATTTGAGCGATAAAATACTCTAGTAGCATCTTGATCAGCAATGTAGTATAACCTCCTTAGAGCAAAGCATAAACCCGCACATTTTTGACATACGTAATCAACATGATTTTTCCATAACAATTGCATGTACAAGTAAACCTAAAATTGTAAAACAAGTCACCTGTTCGATAGATTTTCTATTCAATGATACCAAAGGACTACTAGTATAATTAGAAGATAATGGGTGGAATTGTAATATATAAGTTTTTTCTTGATTCATCGTAAGACGATTCATTTGAAAATATGCTTGTATATTTCTAAGATTTACATTTGTCAATGTTGTCATATCTGTTATTATGTCATCTGCAAATGCAGTATAAGCGGTTGATATATAACTTTCCAAGTCATTGCAGTATAACAAAAATAGTAGAGATCTAGTACACTTCCTTGTGGAACACCAATTGTTACAGGTAGCTGGTTTGAGTTTACACCAAGAAATTGAACAAATTGTTCCCTGTTTGTTAAAAAGTCCCTCAATAAGTCGTGACACAGTCCTTTAATGCCATATCGTTCAATTTTATTCAGAAGCAATGATTGACGCAATCAAACGCTTTTGACAAGTCCACGCATAAAGCTAGAATTTTATCATTTCCGTCTAATTTTCTATATACGATATCAAGAATAACAATGCCGTAATAGTAGACTTATTTCTTCTAAATCCGTGCGGATTTTCAGATATTAGATTATTTACTTCTGTATTATCCTTTTACTAATAACTTTTTCTATAATCTTGGAAAAAGTAGATAATAAAGCTGTTGGTCGATAATTTCTAATTAACTTTGGATTTCCTTTCTTAAAAAGGAAGTAGTTTTTTTCAGAGACACCTCTGTATCTCTGTCAAAAGTAATCCAAATAATTTCAATTTCAAGAGCACTATAGAAGCAACTTCGTAATTTTGTGTTAGAATTTCTTCATAGACGTTTCCACCGAGGCATTTCAAAAGGCGCAATTTTTTTTTAAATTACCATTGGACATTTAAACAGAGGAAAACTGATAAGGAATGTTTTATCAGCGTCCTAAAATATGCCTAACTATGACTTTTCACAGACTTGTCTTATGAGCTTACAGACATCAACACTGCTTTCTTAATTTGAACATTCGAATAATTGCATTTTTTCCAAATTGGAAAGAATAATTGCATTTTAGTCCATTATTGTAGAAAGGGAAAACTAGTATTGAAAAAAAATCGAAAACGGTTTGAAAAACTTTTTATTTTAGTTTTATATTCTTTCAATTTCATATTAAATACACAAAACTGTTGCACAGGTCTAAAAGAAAGAAATATAATTGAATAAATGTATAGAATTAATAAAAATACAAATTACATCTTAAAATAATACGAAATAACTAAAATATATGTTGATTTATAAAAGGTATGATGTGCTACTGATATCTATAAATATTTTAGAAAATACATGAGATTAATAATGAAAATCAGTAAAATTACCATTAAAAAATTTATTTGATTTTTTTTTTAAATTTCCTACATGTGGTAATGGATACACTGAAAAATAGTGCTCCGAAAATGTGTAGTGCTTTTTTATGAAGTCTAAAAACTCTAGTTTTAATGTAATTTTTCTTTTACTACAAAATATGTGCAAATTATATGTACTTAACATAAAGGAGGCACTAAAATATTGAGTGGATGAAATAGTCAGAATAATAAATTAAGAAAATATTTTCTGTAATTACCCCTGTATTCTAATCCTGAAATACGAGTATTATGCACAGCTCCCTAACTAATACAGACAAATCCTAATATTAAAGTTATTGTATCTTGTAGTTAGGATTTGTGTAGAGAATAAAACTATAAATGTCTCATTGGACGAAAAAATACTATTGATTTTGATGTGCAGTCACCAGAATATCAAATTTACTTTAAATATGTGATATAATTAAGTAGTGTTATAGCCCCAGTTAAAATTATACAAACCTAAAAAGTCAGTATTAAATGGAAGACATAACAATGGATTTCACTAAAATGTGCCTTTAAAGCAATTTTCTTAATAGCGTGACAAATTATGACTTAAACGGGGGTATTAATGTGACTTTAAAATTAACAACACATTGGCAACTTTAATTGGAACTCGCCTGTAATCTATACATGAGAAAATTTTTAGATAACAGACACGTTAAACGAAAAATATGTTACCCAAACGTAGCAAAAATTACTTTTAAGTGGTGAAATGTCCATCTGTGGTAGTCACTTTCTAAATTTTCCTTCCTTTTAGTGTTAGTCATACTTGTACTACCTAATAATGTATGATTTTTAACATTTGCATGAATTTTACATCTGTCTAAATGATAATAAAATTCGAAAAAGGTTATGTGCATAGCTTGGTAATTTTTGCGATTAAAGTGTTCTTCAAAAGTGTTATTTGTGTAAGCGCATTAAATTACAAACATTTTTCTTAGTTTTGTCAATAAAGTGCAAAACGTTTGAAAATTCGCTCAAGTGGATCTTAAACGTGATGAATAAAATTTGGAATATTCATTAATATTGATCAGTTTGTCTCAAAGTGATCATGATGATCATTTTGAGCTTTAACTAGAAGGCCTTAAATTAGCGCCACAAGGAGAGAGACATATGAATAGAGTTGTCCACTAATTATTATGTGATTTAGCATTTTATTTCATCAATTTCATAAACCCAACATTACCTTAACTTTTAGCTTTTTTGGTTATTTTACGTCAGTCTATTTCTGCTACTATGACTAAACAGCAACGTCAGGAGACCAGCAACCCCCAACCTGTAAATTGTCACACCCCACTTTGTTGTGGGGTAGGAACCTTTTACTTGCCTAATATTGTTTAGACAAGCAATAAAAGGTTTTACATCCTTTCCGACGGATGGCCTTCCTATACAAGCCTCGCCAAAATTTGTACAGCTTCTGTGAATACAGTGACATACTGCGGCCACTAGAAAGGTGGACGAGCATCGCGAGCCTTCTCCGGATGGTCGCACATCCAACTACTAACCACGATTAGCGTTGCTTGACTTTAAAAACAGTGACGGGATTACTTTCAAAATCATCATTAGATCTATTTACATACCTACCAAAAAACTATTCCCCACTTTGGTAAATAATAATTTGGTTTAAGGGTAAGTACTACTACTGGCCAAATACTTTGTTGTCGCTTTGATAGTTGCGGTTACACATTGCGGTGACAATTGCAACTTGGGTCTTCGCTGGAGAGGAAATACACACAATGACAGCTTTATATCACAGTATGAATCAGGTGGGCATTTTTAAACTAAGACAATTTCGTTTAACAAACTTCGGGAAAGCTAAGAATTTTTTTACAAATTTAATTAGTTTGTAGATTCCACGACAGGTGAGGATCTAATTAAACGCCAAGAAATTTGACATTTTCAGGATTATTTGTTATTTAACTAGCGAAGACGGAATATCATTGTTTCGGTCTTGGACATCTTAACAACAGAGGCACTACATTAAGTAAAACAGGTAAATTTGAATTTAATGTAGTAACATTGATGTTATTTATGAAAAGTTAAGATATTACTGCCAAAAATTTTGGTAGATCACTTATATAAATTTAAAAAAGTAGAGGACCCAAAAGTGAACCTTGCGGAACTCCATGCACGCCTACTGCCAAAGTACTTAATATAATATTGTAAACAACATATCAAAATTTGAAAAAAAAACAATATTTGCAAATAACTGGCTGCGGGGTAAACACCAGTACCGCAATAACAAATGCGTATCTACCGCGTGTCACATCAGCCTGATTTATAGTCGAAGTGAACATTTTAATCTTTCCGAGCGCTCGTTATTAACGCGAAATCATTAACACGTTTAACCAAATTTTAATCAGCCCGATAACTGCGCCACTATTCAGTTCAATTTAGTGCGCCTCCACAAAGCCGTTGCGATTATTGTTGATGCGAATATTAAGATTGATTACAAATTAGCGGCTCGGAATGGCTCCGAAAACAATGTTCGGATTAATTCGAATCAAGTCTGGATCTCATTTGTATCCATTTTAATTCCTAAATTAAGTAAGGCCTCAAGATACCGAATTAATCCGGTTATATACAGAGGATAACAGTTCCTGCTTTAGGGGGAGCCACTGTGATGATTGGATGCCAAATGCAAACTGAAAAATTGTGGGTCTTCACTGCTTCCTGCCTCTCGAAATAACAGAATATACGAGTACATCATTATGGTATCTCGAAAATCACCTGATATTTACATTGCCATTATCACTTCGATTACCAACTGTAGGGTTCCACATCTGATGTGCTATTGGTTAGTAACGTCACTATCATTGGTATCTTTAATCTGTAGATCTGAATAGTTTATTTGATAAATGTACCTACTCTCTAATACTGACTACTTTCTGAGAAAACTAACAAAAACTAATTCACTGATGTCTTTATTAAAGCAGAATCTTTCTAAGACTGTAATGAGTTTGAATTTTGCAGTGAATAATTACAGACTTGTATTAAATTTTTTTTGTTTTGTAGAAAACATCCTTATTTAAAAAATGTAGTTGGTACCTGTTTGAAACAGGCAAAACAATAACATGAATTTCATAATGACAAAGTGATTATAGAAAAAATAGAAATATTTATACTAGGATTTGTATTTGCTTGCTGGGTAGCTAGCACCATACTACATGTGTGGGAGTAATAATAATAATGATGTAGATCACACATGATTAAATTATGCATTATGGCTAAAACTCTGCAAAAAAATTGACAAATTAAATAGAAGAGAAATTATAGTTTCAATTAAAAATTATTATTTTTTTACATTTTTAAATAGTTAATTCATATTTTCAAGATGAAACATCATGTATCATATTTATTTTACATTTCTTTTGAACATGCAGCATGACTGTTGCCTTTCGCTTTCAAACTTTATTTTACATAAGAAAAATATCAACAGGCTTAGTTTTTGGCTGACAGTTTCATTTATCTAGGAATCTCTTTAAAATTGTATTTTTAATTCGATTTTTTTTGGGAACTTTTAGTATTTCTAGTATTTCAATCGATTTATTGTGTTTCCAAAAAAAAATATCTATGAGAAACTAGTGTTAAGTATACGTACTTAGTAGCTTATTCAGTGATTTTGAACATATAACTAGAATTTAGAAAATAGCAGCGTTTTATTCTTTTTTATTGTATTTATCATGCATATATGATTATTATGTAAAACATGTAGATATATATATATGAAAAAAATAATGAAGTTTTATTGCCTGATATATGAAATTACATAGTTTGTATCTTATGCAATATAAAAATACATATAGTCCATGGAAGAAAGGGTTTCCCCTCCGAATTATTTCGGATAGAACCGATTGGACTGTAAGCAGAAAATAGCTGAAGAAACAAAAGTCATATAGAGCTGATGAGCGCTTTTGCCCAGGGTGTGGAAGCCACCCCCTCTAGTGGATGAAAAATAAAATATTGAAAATAACCCCAGGAATAGATAAAACAATAAATTTTAAGCAAAAAGTATCTTACGAACATTTTTCGATAAGTCGATATTTTTTAAGTTATTCTGGTGATTGAAAAATGTACATTTTTTATTAAAAAAGACGTTTTTCAGTAGTTTTTCTCGAATAACTCGGAAAATATACATTCTATGAAAAAAAAAACATCACGAAGAAAATGAAGCTTATAGAAAGAGAAAAAGATTATGATGTCCGCCAGAAACTAAATTGGAAGCAACGGAAAATAATTAAAATAATTGTATTTTTCAAGAAAAATGCACAGAACATTTTTTAAAGTAGTTTAAAAAATCTTTAAAATGAATTTGACTGTAAGTGATTAGCATAAAAATTAAAGTTATGATCAAAATAAAACTGTTAATTCGCTTTTTCGGAAAAAAAAACAATTGACATTTTTTATATTCTAACAATATATTACACAAGTTTAAGCGGTTTAGAATGCATCTTTTTGAAAATATTACGTTTTGATTGAAAAAAAAAAATTAATTCCAAAAAAATAACACAATTTTGAAAATAACTAAAAATAAAAAAGATACGAGAAATATTCAAGAGCACAAAATATTTTGGTTTTTTTATTTGTATAGGCTAAAAATTAACAGAGATGTCGTCAAAAAAATCTCAAAAATAACTCGTTAAAAAATATTCAATACTTTTAGCTGTTGAAATTTTCCGTAAAATCGTTTTTGGATTGTCTTAATAGCTTTAAAATTAAGGAAGTTATCGTTAAAAGACCAACGGTACCTTATCGCTTCAATCTTCGGAGCATATAAATATTTTGGTTATTCACAACTTTGGAGCATTCTATATACAGAATAGCTTCACTTTTTCCCTTTAATCTTTTAATAATTCTACTTATCAACTTTAAATGTATAAAACTGTTTTTATTTGTATAATGAAGGGTGATTTTCAAGAAATCCAGTGATCTGATAAATACTACAAGAGGGCATTGTAATTCATTTTAAATAATTTAAAAGTAATTTTTTTATATTTTGTCATTGGAGGGGGTTTTTAAGAGTTAAAACAATAAACGATAAATTGTATTATAAACAGGTAAGAGAAATTAATTTATCCTGTTTGTACTATCAAATCATTTCAAACTGCTAAAAACTATTTTTTATATATTTTATTAGGGGTAGTTTTTTAAGGTTTGAAATATTGTAATAAATTATTTATAATACCATAAACTATTGAACAAAATCTATAATATATGCGCTTTAAAAATATTTTAAGGTCAAAACAACTATTAATTTTATAATTTTATCATTAAGGGTGGTTTTTAAAGGTTGAAACTTTATAAAAATAACGTAAATTATAACGCACAATATAAAGCATTATTTATTCTGTATATTTAGATATGATTTTAGTCTATACAACACCTTTTTTATATTTATTCGGTTTCTTTTCATAAGGAGTTGTTTTTAACCCCTAAAAATAAGAAGCACATACATAACTTTTCATCTATAGGGTGAAATAAGCTTAAATCCAAATTTTCAGAAAAATTGGATCTATCCGAAAGTATTCGAAGCTTTTATCCTATTTTTCTCTTCGTTCCCTGGACTAATAAGCAATTTATGACAAAACTTTTAGTATATATGTTACCGGCAAAGTATGTAATTCGACATTGTATAGAATTCCTAGGCATTGTATATAAATTCTAAAATCATTAGGTATTTTATGAAATAAATGATATAATGTAGATTTCTTAGGCATTTTATGGAATACCTATTGCATAACCGGCAATGTATGAAATAAACACAGTAATATGTTACATGTTAGTGGGAAGATAATAATAATGAACATTGGAGTGAAGGTTTAAGATTTGTACAACTCATGAAAAATAGAGCTTTTCATTCTGGAATAAAGCGAACGCCTTATGAGGCTCTTTTTGGTTGTAAGGTAAAAGTAGGTATAACATTGCCAAACCAGTTGCACAACATCTTGAAAGTGAAGAAGATTTGGAGAGAGTTATTAAAAATAACATTAATCAAGGTAATTTACAAAGATAACCTCAAGATGAAACCTCTAAAACACATGAGACACCTGATCAATCTTCAGTTGCAGAGGATATAACTAACAAACCATTAACTACTTTATGTTGTGTATGTTTCAAAGAGATAAATGAAATTCAGTCATGCAAACGATGCAAACAAACTATTCATTCCATATGTGGTGTATTAGAAACATTACATTCTGATGAAGGACACGGGTCTTCAGTATTATGTCCTTTATGTTCTAGGAATATAGTGGCAACCGAAAATCGGCATTCTGAGTAGAAAACTTGAGACAACAAGCGGAAGAAATGTTGAAACATAGTGACAAAAAATTTCTCTCGATATCTGTTAGTAAAATGGTACGAATTTTAGTGCCAGAAGTTGATAGAGGATGTGGTGATGCTCGAAATATTCTGGCCATTGTCATGAATATCACAGACGATGGACTAGACCAGCTCGGTACTAAGCAAAGAGTTGTTAAATCGCTTTATTCTAGATATCAGTTTACAGTTTGCCAAAAATAATTTTTGAACATTAAAGATGTTCCTGATAATGAAATTACACTACGTTCCTAGGCATTCTATAAAATAACTAGGTAATGTATACACAAATATTTAAATTTAAACCGATTTCATACATTTCCTAAAATACCTAGGTTTTCTATAAAATGCCGTAGTTTTATACTCTGCCGGTAACATATATATTAAATAGATCAATGAATATTTATTACCTACATGTTTTCTTGTAGTTTTGTAGCATACAAGTGTGGCAATAATGTCGGAAGTTACTTGAATTAACTTTTTTTATATAGATTAAAATACCACTTTCTCTATTTTTTTCTTGTTAAAGCACATAGAGAGATAAAAAAACTGATAAACCAAGATTTTATTTAAACAAATAAACAATCTACGGGCATGCCTTTCAAATTGCATAACAAACATGAATTTAAAAAATATATGTACCTACAGTACATATGCTATAACAAAACGAGGCAAGAGAATTCGATAACTGTACTAGTTCAGGTCATAGTCTCATATTATTTGGTGCCTATCATTCCCATTTCAAGAATTATTTTGTTTCGTTTTCTTAGAGCTCTCGGACGTATGCACCGAAACATCTTACTTATTACTTTCTTATTCCAATATTGTCAATTTGAACTGGAAGTAAATGCAATTCTCCCATCAGCTTGAACCAGATGCACCTTAACATCTATTGAACCTTGCGGATCTATTAACACCAGCCCATCAGTAATTTCGTCCTCAATAATTTATTGCTGAAAATAATTTCTCATTTTACAAAGGCGCTTAAATACTTAGGGGATGATGAATATTTCCTACCCCAGGATATGATCCGAAACATGTGTTTATTATTAAAGTTTGGAGGAATTTGAAAAATTAGGAACACGGCGACTACAAGCTCGACGACAGCAGATCGGATTTTAAAAGCTACCGTTGCGGTGTTTCTTGTTTTTCTCCATGGGTGTAACATACAAACAGGAAAGGACTTTCTGAGGGCATTCAGTTGTAATGCTTTGAAATATCTAATTTCTTGGTTTTATTGCAAAAATACATATTACTTACTAGAATGCGTTAAGTTGATTATAAATCCATAAATCTATCTAAATATATTAGTGAATTATTAATAAATATAATTAAATTAATGAAACCTTAAAATTAATCAATAAAAAGTGAAAGTGAAATGTGTGAAATGTCATGGTGTTGTTAGACCACTTAAATATATCCATTAATAAAATAAAGCAGTATTAAAAATTAATTATACATAAAATATTGATATTATTAAAAGATGACGCCAGATGATATGATTCAAACATGAAACATTCAAAGGTAAATGTGCTGAATACCTACTTGCAGATTACTTGGTCAAAATCTACAACGCCAGATGTTATCGTACGTAAAATGAGCTCATATGCTCATAATATCTACCTATATAAATATTTCTACATGTTCTATACACAATGCAATTCTTTGCATATCAGTCACTTACCAATGTTTTTACAAACTTATGTAAAGTGTTCATAGCTCGCATGCTATGGTAAATTCGTTTTCTTTGATATGTTTTACTGTCCCCTACCGAATAACATTCACTTGTTGAATTGTTTAAACGGTGTGTCAATTGTACAGCCTCGGCGAATATTTGGCAAGTGAAAACACTTTTCTGAATGGATCGATATGCACCATCCACAAGATGCTGCATTTGCTTATATTTAACAAGTAAAGTTTGAAAGTATTCCTTTATCTATTGCCTCTAGCCTCTAGAGAAGAAAATGTTATTCTGTACATTTAACATTTAAATATGTATGTTAACACATGCGTTGAAGATTATTTTGTTATAAATTTTAGATATTGTTCTTAATTTGGTTTGCAGTTTTTTTTTAATAGAAGAACCAAATTTGGTACATGATTTAGGTTTATTACTAGTCTTCTTTGACTATGATTTAAAATTAATTGAAGCACTATAAGATGTTCATTGGAGATGAGTCATCCCTAAAATTGTACCGAACTTTTTTTTCATTGACCCAATTTGAAAAATAATATTAATTCACAGCAGAATTTAATTTTTTTTTTCTCTTGTTAAATTTTAAAACACTTTATGGTTTTCAAGAAAAACTGTATTAATTGACACAAGATTTTAGCAGTGTTCATTAGAAAAAAATAATCAAAAAGTCAGTAGTAGGCTTTATCTTTCAAATTTGACAATTGGGCAAATAAATTTTACTTCACTTCTCTCTTAATTCTACAAAAATAAAACAAGTAGGTACCTAGGTAGTTTTTAAATAAGAAAATATTGTATTAAGTAAAAAACACAGATAAATAATAAAAATAATAACTGATATTTTTTCAACAACAATCAGAGGCAATTGTTATTACTAACTGACAAGTTTGAAAGATAAATTCATTGCCTACTACTGACTTTTCGATTATTTTCTAATAAACACTGTTAAAATCTTATTTCAGTTAATACGGTTTCTTGAAAAGTTTTTTAAAATTTAACAAGAGTAAAAAAATTTTTAAAATTAAATTGTGCTGTGAATTAATATTATTATTTTTCAATTCGGTCAATGAAAAAAAAGTTCAGTACAATTTTAGGGGTGAATTATCTCCAATGAACACTTTGTAGTGCTTCAATTAACTTTACATAACAACATTAGAAAAATTGCAGAGGAGGTTTCTTAAATCGGCCAGTTTCATCTTAGATGGAGTCTATCCACAACTGGGATAGCACCAAGAGTTGTTATTGGATAGGTTTGAAATGCATATTTTAATTAGGAGGAGGGTTATGTATGTACTCGATAATGTTCTTGTACAAAATTGTCAACCACGATATTGATTGCATTGAGCTTACAACATAAATAAATTACCGTGTTCATCGAATAAATGAGGAATAATTGAATACAAATGCCAGATCAAATGTTTGTTCAGTCTTCCTTCTTCGCGCACAAACATGTTGCGGTGGTCTCCTTTACATCAAATGCTTTTTAATTATCATAATATGGAGAATAGCCTAGACATTTTTAATATTTCTATAGCAAATATTAAAAGAATTTTCTATTCTCACAATTGAGTTATCGATTTTTAATTTATTCTTTGTTTTTGTATTACTTATGTTGTTGTTTCTGTTGTTGTTATGATGATTTTTAGATATAACTATTAATTCTTATGTGACTTTACCATTTTGCTATTTTTTTATTGATTGACTGACATTGTTTCCGATTAACGTTTGTACTTTTTGGTAATTTCTATTCTTATTTTTACTTATTTTAAATGTTTATGCTTCTTTTGTTAATGTGTATTTATTGTAGCTGTAATATTCATCCTGTAATTGGGTTTCTCCCGTTGGGTGAATTAAATTAAATAAATAAATAAATAAACTTTAAATCATAGTCAAAGAAGACCAGTAATAAACCTAAATCATGTACGAAATTTGGTTCTTCTACGGTAAAGTGTTGCAGAGATATTAATTTTTTTCAAAATTTAGGATCACACTTTGGGGGCTAATAACTCCTCCGGGGTGCATCATCTAGTACTTTTGCTACTCTATATAGATTTTTTTATATATTTTAAAACAATTTATTCGAAAGAAGAAATTTTGATATGCCAGATTTAGATATCCAAAAAATCTATTATTAATTTGTATTAAATTCGATTATATTATGATATTGAACTAAGTAAAATTTCTTCACTTATAGGTACAAAGACATACAGAGTGATTTCTAAAATCAGTCGTATTTTATTATAGCGTGTAAAATTCGTAAAAATATTTTCTTGTAAACGTCATTTTCAACAAATTTAAAAAAATTACTTATCATATTAGTTTTGAAAACAATATTTATTTATTTTAAAAACTAAATTTTTCATCACAATGGTTGAGATCTGGTGACCTGGCTGGCTAATTGTAACTTTCAAAAAAAAAACTGTTCTGTGCAGTTCTACGTATTGATAAAATACCTAAATAAATGTATTTTTAATTTAAAGTTAAAAGTTTTACATCCGCTGAGGTTTTCGGTATTTAGGCGTGGTAGCATTTTCTTTTCCAAGTCAACTGATATTCCTCCGCCGCACTTGGCCCAAAATATTGACGCCCTTTATTATTTCCAATTCCCCTACCTACTCTTACTCGCGCGCTTATGGCCTCCAAGGCTCTTCCTCGAATATGATAGTTGGTAGTTCACCCTCATGTAATGTGATACTTTAACTGCCAATTTAAATTCCGCAATAAATACATTATCTTTATTGCCCCACGAGGTGTAAAGTGTCAAGAGGATATGTGGATTGCCTTACATGTGTATTAGGCTCGGGGTGTAATTTATGTTATTATACAGCGATAAATAACGAAGTTATTCGAGTTAAATTCGCACGCGGTCGCTCATAACCCTATTTGTACGAATGTAATAATTATATATTGTAGCCTTGCATAGTCCGTGCAAGATTATGACCGCTACGTTGCAATTATTCATTCGGATAAGACTACTTATTCGCTCACGACTGGAAAGATTCATGGGACGGGCTTACTTTAATGCTCATTCTCCAGATGCTGGAGTGACATTAAATAAAATGCGCAATGGGCCAGAGTTCTTTATGGTAATCTTTGACATGGAAAGCGGTGAAAATTTGACGATGTTTATGAGTTAAAATAACCGAGAGACATATTAACGTATTCCTGTGAAAGTGGACATATCTCAAGTTAAAATATACAGGGTTGTCAATTAAAATCTTATATTCGTAATTGGCGACTTTGAAAACCACCGAATCGCCATATTGGAACCGCCATGTTTTATTCAGAAATTTTCGGAATCGACTTCAGATTCGTAATCAGCGACCCCAAAAACTCGCGGTAACAATATTCAGATGAAAATATTAAATAGAAAATTGTGGGGTAAGTGAGACCCTGGTTTGTAACTGGATAAGTTACATTCTTCTGGTACGTTGTCTATCATTCTAATTTCTAATTATTATGGTTACAAAACAATCTACATGTAAAGCTACATCACATTTCATGCATTTGG